CAATTTAAGTTTTTTAATTTTTAATTTGTTTAAAATTAGAAAAAACGATGGCCACAATTTTCAGTGTAAAAGAAATGTGTTTACAAATTTATGAATAAAAAACTAAAATTTCGTTTTTTGCTAAGTTCAAATAGAAAAAATAACATCACAGTGGACTCTTTCTCGATTAAAAAGAGAGTAATTTCATTACAATAAACGTAATAACATTTGCCCTAAGAGAAGAAATTCATTATTCTTGAAATTTACAAACATCCTTAAATATTTTTCCAAACTTATGGCAATCTGATCAAATAAACATGTCATGTCAAAAGTTGCATATTATTTGAAGCACTACTTTCTTTATTTGCGCCATCATGATCCAATGTATATAAATTAGGACTCAAATCTGCTCTCGACAATAGTACAGCTCGTGTCATATCATCACGACATGTAAAACTTTGCTATGCTTCAATCCATTTCAAATGTCTTGACAAACGTTCATTTTTCCTTTCAAAATGGTGACGATAGAGAGTATCCCAGAGACATCCATTAATAAAACCCAGTTGACGGATTAGCTGGTACTAGGTAGATATAAGCATGTGCGAGATTACGGGCCCCAAACAAGAAAAAGAATAAAGAAGCATAGGCAAGACATGTAACACCACTACAGCAGTCAACACCATTGATTACAGTAGATCTACTATGAAGACCGGCAATCTTTTTGCATGAATAGGAGCTCTTTTGTAGCAAATTGAAGTTATATACCTATTTTAAGATGGCCTTTAAGAAATATAAACAAATTTATACTTATTGGATATATTGGTAAGCAAACGGTGTTCATTAGGCGGATTGGTTTGGTGGGCCAAGCAGAAACAAGGGACTTCTCTGTTTTTGTATGCGAAAAAGTCGAGATAATTTGGTGCATTTCGACAGTTTTCTGCGAGATATGTAGCTAATTTTTATTGTCAACATGGGCGTAGCAGCAATAATGTTGATAAAAAGCTTAACAAACCACTAATCGTGTGAGACTTGCATGAACAATGAGTACACAGACCCAATCCATGTGATCGAGGTCCAGTCAATTCTCATCCGTTCGTTCCACGAATGCTGCTAAAATGAAAAGGATCCATTCCATGCAAAATCCCAAAAGTGCAGAGACAATACACTGGTAGAAGCCGACAACAGTGTTCTTCCATATGATGCTTACGCCTTGGAGGTTCTCAGGTGAATGATTGGATCGTTCACCAATGTGAGCAATTAGCCATTTATACAATTCGAACAATTTTGAATTCGTCTCAAATAATAAAAGATGTCAAAATCCTTTGATTGAAGAGCATAAAACAAAAGTTCTAGGTGTTCGAATCTCTTTTTTTTTTCCTTATTTTTTAGGGGTCAAATTACGAATCTTTTCATGGATTCATTGACTTTTCTTCTAGGCTCACAATAATTGCGATTGATTACGCAACCCCTAGAATTTGGTGTCGTTCGACTGGCTCGCATTCAGCCAGCAAGCCTTTATTGAAAATTCAATTGCCTAAACAGTGAGGATTACAATACATGCGTGCCTCCTAATTGACGAGCGATTGATCTCGAATTCCAAGGGGGCGATCGGATGAGACCCGGCTTCGACCACTGCGAACGCGAATTCAAAGCATGTGCATTACAGCAGCTCGATGAAAACAAAATCGGGACATAACTCGATACGAAATGTGCGCGTACATGTGTAATACACATGTACATATAGGTACATATACCCGTATGTGGACGTACGCACATGTAAGATCGGTACTACAATGATGCACGCTTAAATGTGTCTAGCTGCTTTCTCCATTGCCTAGCAACAACTTTGTCCAACTACCCCCCATCCCCACCTACTCTTCCTCTGCCTCTTCCTCTTTCTCTTAGGAAAGGGTGGTGTCTTCACCTATTTCCTGCCATTTGTGGCTCGACCTGCGACATCTCGCAGGGTCCCTTTGATGCATGGAATCAATGCAAATTCCCAATTCCATGCACGGGACCAGACCTTGATCCATGTGTGTGTGAATGAACTGGACCCAACTCCACCATCACATGGCTCATACTTCCAAACAAATTTAGGAATATGGTCAGTGGGGTTATCGTCTCCTTTGGAGTACCTCCATTGAAACCCTGAATTTTTATGCTTTGTTTACAGTCATATCACCACAAAAAAATTATATTATATTTTGTATTTTCAGTTTTTTTTTTTGTTTTTTTGCTGCTTTTTCCTTTCTTGCTTAGAGCATATGATTCTACATGTTTAGTCACCTTAATTACATCGCAAGAGAATGTGTCTCCCTTATTGTGGTCTTGCATTCAAGGATTGCCTAGAGTGCTCTGGGATGGTAGTTTGGGTTTAAACTTTATCCGTTAAATAGCCTCAAGACGTGGAGTAAGTGAGGTGAGTGGTGTCAGCGATCTTACCTCAAGATGCACGATGCACCATCACCTAGGATTCAGCAAATAGATTATTAAGCTTAGATTTAACTCGGATTCTCCTTAGCTCATATCAATTCGCGACTTAAGGTTCAAGTTCATTTTTTTTATCTAGGAGTCGCCGCTGATCTATCTCACCTCCGCCGCCGCCACCTCCTCCTCCTCCGCGTCCGTTATCAGTAGTCAACGAGTTTATTGTACCCAACCATTCTTATATGTCCGAGCGTACTGGGTTGAAGATAACTTCCTACAAGCCCCCTTCCCTCCTCCCTTTGAGGGGAGGCTGTCGGTCACATGAATCGATTAATGTTTGGAATTTCGTGTATGTGCGCACTTCAAGAACTTTAGGTGGTGAATTCTTTCTCTTTTCTTTTTATTTTTATTAAAAGATAAATAAATGGGCGATATAATGATTTCTTTTGTTGTTTAGCCGTGAGGAAAGTGACGTTACCTCTTTAGCTTTGGGCTGGGGCCCACTTGGTTGGGGGGGGGGGGCCATAAATATCTCCATGGATTCGATTCCAAGACGTATGGCCAAGGAAAATGCTTTGTCCTTTTCACTAATTTTACCCTGCTCGCAATTAAAAAAATAATAAATGATTTTATTAAATAATAACCAACTTTTGATAATGCATAACACGAAGTCAGACTATGTACATGTCGCCTACAAAACGAAAATTCAAGAGAAAGTACGTCGGCCAACTATTACCGGACAAATCATTTTTTTCTTTTCGCAGTATTGATATCATAATTAATTAGATCTCGTTTGAAATTTAGAACGATAATTACGATCAAACAATGACCACCATGCCCTCGAGATTTTTTAATTGACGGCACGTCGTTATTATCCGTGACGGCTTGACGGAAAGGGTCCTTCCTTTCTTTTCTCCATTTTTTTTCCTTATTTTTTTCCCCAAAGGTTGGATCTAAGACAGTTTGCTGATTCCTTGGCTGCAGTCCCACGGTCCATATCCGAATTAACTATCGAAAGACAGTTTGTGAGAATACTTGAAAGAATCAACTAATTGTTAATTTGGAAATTGGAACTGAAATAGGATCATGGATGCACTGCGAATACCACTTGACCACGTCGATCGTGGAGCCGCCTCTTCTGAGCCTTCCCTATGCCTTTGCCTTCTTGGGATGGACACGGGCGGGATCATTTGCCTGGTCAGTGAGGATTACAACACATGTGTGCCTCCTAATTGACGAGCGATTGATCTCGAATTCCAAGGGGGCGATCGGATGATGCCCGACTTCGACCACAGCGAACGCGAATTCAAAGCATGTGCACTACAGCAGCTCGGTGAAAACAAGATCGGGACATAACTCGACACGAATTATGCGCGTACATGTGTAATGCACATATACATGTAGGTACATTTATTACGTGTGTGGACGTGCGCACGTGTGAGATCGGTACTATAATGATGCACGCTTAAACGTGTCTAGCTGCTTTCTCCATTGCCTAGCAATAACTTTGTGCAACTAACCCCCATCCCCACCTACTCTTCCTCTGCCTCTTCCTCTTCCCTATACCCCTATCATAAGGCCCCACCTGCGACTCTTCCTCTGCCTCTTCCTCATACCAATTCCCTGCAGGGACCAGATCACCGGGCGGTGTGATACTGACCCAACTCCACCTCACATGGTTCACTGCACAAATTTAGGATTTTGTCAGTTGGGTTATCGCCTGCTTTGGGTACATCCATTGCAACCCAATTTTAGCTTGATTCCGTCATAGCACCCAAATTTATAATGCATTGGAATTTTTTTTTGTTTTTTGCTGCTTTTTCCTTTCTATGCTTAGAGCATATATTCTACATTTTAGTCACCGTGATTACACGGGACCAGAATTTCTCCTGATCCGTGGTGTTGCACGCTAAAACAGATCCTGGTTATTTTGGGTTTAAGTAGTGCGTCAATAGCCTCCAGCTTTAAGTCACATGGTGTCAAACTTCCTCAAACAAAAACTTGGGAATTTTGTCAGTTGGGTTATCGCCTCCTTTGGAGTACCTCCATTGAAACCCTGAATTTTTATGCTTTGTTTACCGTCATAGCACCACAAAAAATTGTATAATACTTTGTATTTTCAGTTTTTTTTTTTGTTTTTTTGCTGCTTTTTCCTTTCTTGCTTAGAGCATATGATTCTACATGTTTAGTCACCTTAATTACATCCCAAGAGAATGTGTCTCCCTTATTGTGGTCTTGCATTCAAGGATTACCTAGAGTGCTCTTGGGTGACAACCCCGTATCGAGATCCGTTTGAATTTGGGTTAGTAAGAGAAACTTGTATCTGTCCTCCCAATAGCCTCGAGATAGTAATTTGCATTCAGTGAAACACTTAGGATTTATTTCATACAAGAGCCGGTGGGACCGGGGAATATACAGGTAGTGCGAACCTCGTGAACGGTAGGTGGAACCGAATGGCCATTGGACGGCTGAGTCAAAAGGAACGAATCATGTCATCGTTATCTTCTTCACGACTACGCAACTCGTTGACTTGTCCATCCCACATGCCTGCCTATATAATTACGTATTATTCTCCGCCTCGATCCCAGACACTCGCTAGAGTTCTTCTCTCCTCCACACACGCATAGCGAGAGAGAGAGAGAGAGAGAGAGAGAGATGGGGGTTCTGGGACCGAGCTCGGCGGTGGGTGTGCAAGAAGGAGAAGATCACCGTCCGAAGGAGCGCGACGCCGGTGCTCTCTTCGTTCTCAAATCTGAAGGTAACTCCATCTCTCCTCTCTCTCTCTCTCTCTCTCTCGTGCTCTGCAACCCCGGCCGCCGCCGCCACCTCCGCCGCCACCTCCTCCTCCTCCGTCTCTGTTATCAGTAGTCAACGAGTTTATTGTACCCAACCGTTCTTATATCTACGAGCGTGCTGGGTTGAATCTAACTTTCTACGAGCCCCTTCCCTCCTCCCTTTGAGGTGAGGCTGTCGATCACATGAATCGATTAATGTTTGGAATTTCGTGTATGTGCGCACTTCAAGAACATTGGGTGGTGAATTCTTTCTTTTTATTATCATTATTAAAAGATAAATAAATGGTCGATGTAATGGTATCTTTTCTTGTTTAGCCGTGAGGAAAGTGACGTTACCTCTTTAGCTTTGGGCTGGGGGCCATTTGGTGGGTGGGGGTCACCTCAAAAGTGGAGAACAATCCCCCGCAAGCATCTCCATTGATTCCAAGACGTATATGGCCAAGAAAAATGCTTGTCGTTTTCACTAATTTTACCCTTTACTCGCAATTAAAAAAATAATAAATGATTTTATTAAATAGTAACCAACTTTTGATAATGCATAACACGAAGTCGGACTATATACATGTCATCTACAGAACGAAAATTCAAGAGAAAGTACGTCGGCCAACTTTTACCGGGCGAATCGTTTTTCTTTTCGCAGTATTGATATCATAATTAATTACATCTTGTTTGAAATTTAGAATGATAATTACGATTAAACAGTGGCGACTATGTCCTCGAGATTTTTTAATTGGCGGCACGTCGTTATTGTCCGTGACAACTTGACGTACAAGGTCCTTTCTTTCTTTTCTCCATTTCTTTCTTTATTTTTTCCCCAAAGGTTGGATCTAAGACAATTTGCTGATCCCTAGGCTGCAGTCCCACGGTCCATGTCCGAATTAACTATCGAAAGACAGTTTGTGAGAATACTTGAAAGAATCAACTGATTGTTAATTTGGAAATTGGAATTGAAACAGGATCATGGATGCACTGCGGATACCACTTGACCACGTCGATTGTGGCGCCACCTCTTCTGAGCCTTCCCTATGCCTTTGCCTTCTTGGGATGGACGGGCGGGATCATTTGCCTGGTCATCGGAGCGGTCGTGAGCTTCTATTCCTACAACCTCATATCGCTCGTCCTGGAGCACAACGCCCAGGTGGGCAATCGGCATCTTCGGTTCAGAGACATGGCTTACGACATCATGGGTAAGTCCTAATCATTGTAGCATTCGTCTCAACAGTAACATTTATCTTAAGACATTGCTCTTGAAAGTTCAATATCTTCTTATCAATGAGCTGTTAAATCTTATATTTTAGAGTGGGACAATTATCTACATCACGTCCCCTTTCTCCCATGTGATAGGTGCAGGTTTTTGAGTCCGACCGTTGATCATGGACCGGTCCGACCATTGACTAGTCAACGGGTCGGGTCGGGTCGGGTCGGGTCGGGTCGGGTCTTCAGGTCCGATCATCGTCTGAGTCGGGTTGCCGGGTTCCTGGTCCGAGTGGCTGACATCATGATGACGTCAGCAACTCCCTGTTCTAACTAACCGGTTGAAAGTACATGATTATTGAAAGAGACAGCGCTCGAAACACGTATGATGGTAACATTACCATGCGATTGTTTTAAAGTGAGGAAGTTGTTGGCGGTTAGGTGACGACGTTCGACCCCGGAAGTCCGTGTCCGAGATGAAGAGATTGGCCTTGAACTTTAGGACAAGTTGTGTCGAAGCACGTGGTCAATCGTTTGAGTTTCAAAAACATGTGTGGATACATGTGAACCCGGATGGTTTACTTGAACTCCTTGGGCACGATGCTTTCGATCTAGCTGCCCTGATCGTACCCAATCCACTGTTTTTGGATTGCAATCCATGGTCAGAGCCGCAAATCATCCCGCTTTTCTTTTGTGATGTACACCACGTAACTTTGTTGACATTTCGAGATTCCGTGCTTTGACCATTGAATCGATAGCAGCACACAAGACATTTTTCTCTTTGGTCAGAGAAACGCAACTTTCATTTCGTTCAGGACTAGGTGAATACTAAGTCGGACAACATGTCCGGCCAACAGTTTGAAGCGACGAAAGAGAAACGTTTGACATTGCAATTTCTAACGCCGCCCTGTGGTACAAAGTAGCCCTAGGGTAGTTTTTGAGCTACCAATAACTCAGGACCATTCTGCTTGTCATTGAATTCACGAATTACTAGCTCTTTCCGTTTATCTGAGCCTAATCTTTAGGTTAGAGTAAATTGTGGAACGTAAGTAGCTTATGATAACGTTGGTCAAGCCAATTGTCATCACGTGTAATGTTAGAGATAAACCCGATACGGCTACATAAGCTTTTGCAAAAGTGTCTGCGTGTGGCATGTTCGGCGCCGCCAAAAATGGCGCTTACTGTTTTGAAGTGAACGAGGCTAACAGTGAAACAAATATGGGTTTGGGCAGGGCCGATATGGGGGAAGTTTTACGTCGGTCCAATCCAATTCTTGGTCTGCTATGGTGCTGTTGTTGGCAGCACTCTTCTGGGAGGAGAATGCCTCAAGGTCTGACTACTGAAACGCTTAAACTTTACTTGTCTGTTTCTGTACATGCTTAGTCATACTTTAGTGTATAGAGAGCTCATTCTTTTATGGTTTTATCAAACAATCCCAGACGATCTACTTGCTGTCGAACCCAGATGGGACGATGAAGCTCTTCGAGTTCATCATAATATTCGGATGCTTGATGTTAGTCCTAGCTCAAGTACCATCTTTTCACTCACTCAGGCACATCAATTTGGTGTCCTTGGTTTTGTCCCTTCTGTACAGTGCTTGTGCCACCGGCGCTTCCATTTACATCGGTAAGTATTAACTCATACATGAAATTCAAATAGTGCTTAATAGCAAAGCAAACTGGTTCATGACAATCATATCCGATGTCGAGTTTCTCCTCTTTCTGTTGCAGGGCTTTCGTCCAAGGGGCCCGAAAAGGACTATTCCTTGGTAGGGAGCATTGAAAGTCGCATCTTCGGTGTCTTCAATGCTGTCGCCATTATTGCGACGACGTACGGGAATGGGATTATTCCTGAAATTCAGGTTTGATACTCGTGATGCGTCTGTTTTGTTTAGCTCAGTATGATTTGATGTCCGCTTGAATCGGTCAGGCGGAGAGATTCAATGAACGATAAGGGTTCAGCATTTGTACCACCGGTTGAACTTTAGCCCATCATGTTCAATCTGTGTAAATTGATTTATAGGCCACGTTGGCGCCTCCGGTGAAGGGAAAGATGTTCAAGGGGCTGTGCATTTGCTATGTCGTGGTCGTGGTCACTTTCTTCAGCGTCGCGATCTCCGGTTATTGGGCTTTTGGCAACAAAGCAGATGCGCTCCTCCTCAACAACTTCTTGGTTGATGGGGAGGCGCTGGTTCCGAAATGGTTCATTTTGATGACCAACGTGTTCGCCATTCTCCAACTGTCAGCTGTTGGTGTAGTAAGAACCTCTCTCTCTCTCTCTCTCTCTCTCTCTCTCTCTCTCTCTCTCTCTCTCTCTCTCGTGCACACGCACGGTGGAATATGTGACGGCGGTAACATGAGAAGAACGAATTGTTTTGGGCAGGTTTATCTGCAGCCTACTAATGAAGTTCTCGAGAACATGTTCGCGGACCCCATGAGCGAGGAATTCTCTGCACGGAATGTCATACCTCGCCTGATCTCTCGGTCGACATCTGTCGTTGTGGCAACAACAATAGCGGCGATGCTCCCCTTCTTCGGAGACATCAATTCTCTGATTGGATCATTCGGATTCCTGCCTCTCGACTTCGTCTTGCCCATGGTCTTCTACAACTTGACGTTTAAGCCACCGAGACGAAGCCCCATTTTCTGGCTGAACATCACTATTGCAGCAGTGTTCTCAGCGGGGGCGGTTGTTGCAGCTGTTGCTGCGGTTAGGCAAATAGCCCTCGACGCGGATACGTACCAGTTATTTGCTAATTTGTAAACAGATGTAATTTGCTCTCAAAAGCTAGCCCGATTATATGAATGCAGATATTAGCCACCCTTCACTGAAACCAGGACACCGATTCGTCCACTGCTGACACCGAAATTCTTTCGCAGTCATGGTAAAATAGCAGTGGAAATTTGTAAAGCAAGAACTATCAGTAGCATTTCCTTTGCTTGAGAGATAAATTCGCAGAGCTGTGATTGCTTTCTTCTTCCCCTTATACAGTACGCATGCAGGGTTCAGATGGAAACTGCACATGCTATATATAAATCCATGGTAAGAATTGATCTGGAAATGAAGAAAAGCCAAACATGAAGGAAATGGGACAACAGTCATTATTCATAAAGCACGATCACATTAGATAAGTCCGATTCACTGAAATTAAACCGAAAGAAAATAACAACAGACAATCGAAGACGACGACAGTAGCTTCCAAAACAACGATTCGCCAGGGCTAGAACTTCACTTCTCAGGGTCACTGCCACAAATATCCATGGACTCACTCATTCGGGTCGTCCGGTGTCTTGGGGAGACTCGAGGCCGGTGGCACAATAGTAATAGGGCTGGCCATGATCGGCTCTTCCTCTTCCGATCCCTCGGGGAGACTCGAGGCCGGTGGCACAATAGTAATAGGGCTGGCCATGATCGGCTCTTCCTCTTCCGATCCCTCGGGGGGACTCGAGGCCGGTGGCACAATAGTAATAGGGCTGACCATGATCGGCTCTTCCTCTTCCGATCCCTCGGGGAGAGTCGAGGCTGGTGGCACAATAGTAATAGGGCTGGCCATGATCGGCTCTCCCCCGTCCGAGCCCTCAGGTCCAGGAGAGCTGCCATTTGCATTGGCTTCCACCATCTCACCCGCGCACACGGGGACATCCACCAGTTCGCCGTCATCAACTTCGCCCGCAGCCGCAGGAGCAGTAGCCGAACGCTTTCTCTTGTACTTTCTCTCTATAGTATCCTCGAATGTGCCGAAAACAATCTGATTAACAGAAACCCAATCCAAAATCCGGTCTTATCAGTTGCATATTTGTAACTTAGAATTTGCAAAACTAATGATAATTCAAATTCGAGTCTTTTGAAGGATCGGAAGTAAAAGAAAGTGAATGAAGATATGAATTTTACTTGAACTTGGTTGCCTGCAATTAGAGGGCCGGCGAGGCAGCCGCCGATATGTGCCCCGTCAGTATCTGTCATCCATAGAGTCAACAATCCATACTTTCGGTTCAATGACCCTTGCAGAACATTAATCACAAAGCGGCCCTGCGATGACATCAATTGGTCACATAAAAGAATTGCAAAGTTTCTAGGAGTAATAGTCGAACTTCGTTGGCAAAACATGGTCAATCTTTGTCGATTTTCGCCACAAAGAGTACTGATCTGGCGATGTCTGTAGCATCAAATGAGGTTCTTTCTACATTGCTGTGAACCAAAACATGGCAGCAGTCTCGGACCCTTTCTGAGCCGGCCGATGGTTGACAATGATTGTCAATCGTCGGTGGATTTTCATCAGTCACCTAATTGAGCCCTACAACTTAATCCCGTGTTCCAGGCATGGCACGGCAGAAAATCTCATCGAATTAAGCCGACTACTCATTGTCAGAAAGTACACATCTCGTAAGATTAAGGCCTTTTCTCGAGAATAATTTTTCCGGCGAGCGCACTGAAAAAGTCGATAACTCGTTCCGATGTAATAAATAAGAAGGGAGCGAGAGACTGAAGAACCTCGAATGCGGTTTTTTCTCCACCAGGATTGCTGCTATGGAAGGCGACAGAAGAGACCTCACCAGTAGCAGTGATAGGAACCACCGTTGTATGTTCTTCCTGAACATATGCTAACAGCTCTTGAATGATGTCCTGAAAACCACGGTTTAGCAGATGTTTGAAATCAGATAACCGACTAAGGTGGCGACGACGACAAAATAAATTTGTATATATGACGATACGTACGCGTCCCGCGGGCACCAATAGCACGTACGGCTTGAAGGTTGGTCCGACCTTATGAACGAGTGCGGCTGCAAAGAGTGTTACGTTAGTTTTAGCCACGAAACATATGACATTGGGCTATGCATGTTTACCGTTCAATTCTGTTCTTGCGAGAATCATTGAGATTTTAGAGATTCAATAAGCGAAATAAAATTCGAGGGTAAATTCGTAAATATCTATTATTGTTGTCCCGCTTTCAGCCCTTTGGATACCCTATAGTTGTACAAAGAATCATTTCATTTTTCTCCCTTTGGACCGTACGAACCCAATTCAAACCCTTCACAATTTTGCAGCGCAAGCCCGATAGGTCTGATTTATGCATCCGACCCGACCCGACCCGATCAGACCGATCAACGATCAATATCATCCCTACCGAGACGGGGCTGTTTTGCCTTTGTGAGGGCACCACGAACTGCCCTTCATGCAAAAATTACTCGAAAAGAAATCAACGCCATTTTTAAGACCGTTATAGGAATCGGCACTTGTATTTTAGAGCACTGTCGTATTACATGGGAGTAGTTGGTAGATTGAGAGATTAGATTCATAACGTTAGATCGAGGAAAGATCTATTTAATTTGAGGGAGTCGGGTGTCTTATGAGGATCGCCCCTCCTTCGTGGCATCCAACATCCAAAGAGCATTAGGGAGCATGTAAAAGCTCACCAAATGTGTCTCCAATGCCAAATAATAATAATGCTTGTAACTTGTCGCGTCATTATTTTTGGGAGGGAACTTACAAGGAGGAGTTCGCATGAGCTTTATCTTATAAGTTTTCTTCGGCCTCCCTCTTCTGCGGCGCCTGGTGGAGGAGGACTCGGCAAACGGAGGAGGCACGGGGAGAGCCAACGGTGCGGGCGACATGGCTGTCCGCCGTGCCGGTGTGGGAGGCGGACCCATTGTTGTTTCATCACTGTCGGACTTTCGAGGGCGACCACGTTTCCTCTTTCCCGTGGTGCTCGGCTCGGGGTTCGCAGCCACCACCGGTTCCCCTCCTGCGCTGGCGTCAGCGGCCACCGTAGCTTCCGGCGACGACATGGCCGCGTTTGTGTCCTCCTTTTGCACTCCCTCGGCCTCGACAATCTGGCTTGGCATGTCTATGGCGAAATGGTTTGCCACCCAATCCTGCATAGACATGGAAATGAAGTTACACTTATTTTGAATATACGATTCTTGAGTTCCTCTCCATCTCAATCTCTCTCAAAAGGCCTGTAGAAAATGAAAATGAAAATGAAAATCTTGGAAAGGAGCACGACAAGAACCTCAACTCTTTTCTTGTAATTTGGTCCCTAGGACTTGTGGAGAATTGTGTAAGGGCAATGGTATTTATAGGGTCCTTAGATATATTGTATTCCTCTTCTACCCCTCGTGACTTGAAAATTTGAGTTGGACCCTGGTTTTATATTTTTGAGAAAAAAACAAATTACATTAATTTTATTCCTTGAAATTGCCTAAATTTGTAAGGAATTTGCTTATCGTTTTTCCTTGTATTTTCGTACAGAGAGTAAGAGGCTGGCTTTTGGCATGGCCATGGGATTGCCACAATTAACCCCAATTTTTATGGATTTTTCGGTCGATTTTATTTCCTTATTTGAAAAATCTAGCCGTCTGCGGCATCTAAATAGTGGCAAGTGCATAATCTCAAACTGGAGCTCAAATTAATGACTGAATCTGGCCAAAAGTTCGCTCCATGGAAAGAACACACGCGTCGCGTCCTCATTGCAGGGAGCTTCTATGGTAGTTCTTATTCAACTTGCCTTCACTTAACAGAAAATCCTATCCAATACAATAATGAATTATGGACTATAGCGCATTGAGTCATGGGAAGGGTACATGTTCCTGCGATTTATTTTTCGAGTTCCTAGTAAAAAGTTATTTTCTCCATAATTTGCTAGTAAGTTCCTTGTAAATCGGATATTACTAACAATTTGGCATCATGGATTCATGGGACTAACGCCTCAATTTTTCTCGGCTTGCACATACTCTTTTTAAGTGAATAGGCGTGGATAATTGTTGTGGTTCACCCCAAGAACAATTATATTTATAGAAACCCTTTTAGGTCAGACCAAAATATAACATTTTTTAGGAGTGGCCATTTTAATTTCTCCAATTAAAACCAGAATTTTGGTTTTTTTGGATAAATTTTAGTTTCCAAAAGTAAAAATCCTAATCATTACAAAATTAGATTCTGGCCGGAAATTATGATCAAACCTAGCCACTGTTTGCCACATGTAATGCAAGGCATGCTGTTGTGAGCGCGCAGCAAAAACCCGGTACCTGCGTCCGAGGAGATCGCCAATCTGAGCCCGTCAATATATCAAGTTGGACCCACATTCACTCAAAAACTTAAGCCAATGAGTTATGGGTCAACTTAGATATACACTAATTATCCGATGTAGGTATTCTCTAACACAAATCACACGTGCATCTCAACATTCTCCCCTTCAAGTGTGAACTCAATATTAAGTGTACTTCCCCTCAATTCGAATCTTCATCAACGCCCAACTTTATCCTTGGTCTTTTTCTCCAAACCGAACTATGAGATCTATCATCGGGCCACGTTGCTATACCCCCAAGTTCGAGCCTATCAACATATCAAGTTGGACCCACCTTCACTCAAAACTTAAACCAATGAGTTATAGGCCAATTTGGATATTTTAACTGCTTCACACCACCAATTCTCCGATGTGAGACTTCTCTAGCATCTCAACAATCTCCCCATCACACGTGAGCTTAGTGTTAGGTGTGCTCCCCTTAATCCGGATATCATTCTACATCAAGATATCTCATTCTCCAAACTGAACTATGAAATCTACCATCAGGCCCACTTAGTGTTAGGTGTGCTTCCCCTTAATCCGGATATCATTATACAACACGATATCTCATTCTCCATACTGAACTATGAAGTCTGCCACTAGGCCCGCGTTTCTACACTACAACACCTACCGCTCGGAAACCACATTGGTCACCAAATTCCTTTCTTGAGACATTCACCAAACACTAGAATAGATTGTGATATCGCCTTTTTTGGGAGCGCACGTCAAAAGCCCAAAACCTTTATTCAAGGATGTCGTCAAGAGAAAGCCTAAGTCCGAGGCTCTCAACATATCAAGTTGGACCACCTTTCACTCAAAAATTTAAATCAATAAGTCATGGGCCAACTTAGATATATTAACAGCTCAACACCATACCAATTATCTGATGTGGGAATTTTTTAACATAACTCACATATGCATCTCACTCGACACGTGTTACATTTTTGTTGTGTGTAGTTTAAAGTAGTATTCGTGAAAGCCATCTTCGTTATCACTTTTTATTACAATTCAATGATTTCATAACTATACAGACTAATAAGAAAATCCAATATATATATATATATATATATATATATATATATATATATATATATATGTAAATAATTTCCTCCAAGTCACTTTATAAATGAGGATGCAACGCAAAAAATCAAGATATTTTCAAATTTCAAAAAAGTCTCCTTCACATTTAATTAAAAACATTATTACACAGTTTAGTCATTGTAATGTACCACTTGGCATGATGGATTCACAGGCCTAATGTTCCTAGGCTTAGGTGAATAGACCCGCAAGATCGTTGTGGCTTTCCCAAACACTACTAATTGTTATTAGTAATCCGCCCTTAATATAAACTTAGGTTAGGGTTTTTAGGTCCAAACCTTCTCGCGTGTTGAGGTGTCAAAATGGGTGAGGAATAGGGGTGAGCGGTTCCCGGTTCGATCCTGTCCAACCCAAGAACCGAGAACCGAACTAGGAGGATCGATTCCCAGTTTCTAAGACCGAGGACCGGACCGGCTAGTCTTGAGACCGTGGACCGGTCCGGTCCAGTTCCAATGGGACCAATATTAAATATTATTTGTGAACTGAAAATCGATTGTTCCGTTTTTTCCTTTGTAGTTTTGATTTGATCCCATAAGGCCATGGAAAAAATTAGAAAAATATATATAATATATGAAAAAATTAAACAATCAGTTCCAATTGGACCAATATTAAATATTTTTCATATATATTATATATTATATATGAAAAAATTAGAAATATATATTTATTGGTCTAGTCCAATCGGTCATGTTCCCACCCTAGAACCAGGAACCGGATCGCTCGGAAATCAATTCCACTTTTAGAAACCAGGAACCGGACCAATATTCCCGAGAACCGGATCAAATCAGTCGGTCCGATCAGGTCCGGTCCAGTCGCGATTTGGGCGGTCCATCTTGCTCACCCCTAGTGAGGAACTCATATTTTAATTCATCTTTGATATTTGAGTGATATATGGATTGGCTAAGATTTTAAAAAAATAGATTGCAACGGGATCTAATAGAGCAAAGCCTTACTAATAATGAGTTATAATGAGTTTAGAAAGAACCCACTTTCAACCCATTTAATCGAAAGAAGCTACTTTGGGGCCCGTTTTGTTCGACTTTGGGGGAATACATTTTGGGGGAATGCAAATACCTTTGGGCTAAAGGGACTAGCGGGCCATATTCGTTATCACTTTTTATTACAATTCAATGATTTCATAACTATACAGACTAATAAGAAAATCAAATATACATATGTGTAAATAATTTCCTCCAAGTCACTTTATAAATGAGGATGCAACGCAAAAAATCAAGATATTTTCAAATTTCAAAAAAGTCTCCTTCACATTTAATCAAAAACATTATTACACAGT